TGTAAATATCTTTGTAGACTACACGTTATAGTGTAAATATCTTTGTAGACTACACGTTATAGTGTAAATATCTGTGTAGACCACACATTATAGTGTAAATATCTTTGTAGACCACATTCTATAGTGTAAATATCTGTGTAGACCACACGTTATAGTGTAAATATCTTTGTAGACCTCACGCTATAGTGTAAATATCTTTGTAGACTACACGTTATAGTAGCACCAATAAAACACTGTTTTTGTCAAAGTAGCAAATAATAATCAAAAATACATTTTTCTAATATGAATTTATGGTATCTTTTTTACCGTTATGTTCCAGCTAAAGGCAAGTTAAACTGATGTGTAGCTTATTACTTATATAAATATATATTCTTTTTTTATTATAAGTTGTCAAAAAATTATTAATGTTGCACCCTTTGATGGTATAAATATATTGTGTTAAATAACTTAAAATTTAGATAATGATATACAAAAAATTGAACAGCTACAAAAGTTATTTCTTATATCTAACTTTCTATTTATTTTATACATCATTAAGAGGTAAAGTTATAATATTAGATAGTCAAATCATTCCGAACACTTACCTAACATATGGTCTGCATAATTTGGAACTGTTGATATAGTTAGTGCTTTCCCACTAGCTACTGAACCTTCAATTTTTACATAATCACGAGGTGGTCGTACATTCATCAAATTCAAGTCTGTGAAAAATAACATTTACATTACAGTATATACACATTCACACACACACATGTAGCAATTAACAACACTAATTCCAGAAGCTAATTAGGTACATAAAGAAAAAAAAAAGTCTTCACTTTCCAATTCATACAACAGAATGTTTAAAATTATCGACTCATACAACAGAATGCGTAAAATTAACGACTCATACAACAGAATGTGTAAAATTATCGACTCTTACAACAGAAATAATGGGTGGAGAAGAATTATTTATCGCTCGACAGCTTTAAGATTGAAATGGCCAAGGAGTTCCTATTGTCATGAAAGTAACCATTACTACACACAACTATAAAAATAACTGTCTATTTTATAATGCATTACATATTAAATATAAGTCTCTTACCTCTTACAATATTTCCAATCAAAACTTCCCTGACTTTGTATACACTTAGTCCAGCTGGTTTGTAAATGCAAAATATACCATTTAAAAGTTTCCAAGCCTCTTCAGCATTACATATGGTTCTCATTTTTTTTACGTACTGCAAAACAGAGTTTGTATCAACAACATTTTGACACAAAATGGTTTGACAGTCACAACAAACAAAAGATATATATATATATGTAGTGTATACTTCGGAAAGAACATAACTTGGTTTGTCCTGCATTTTATAAATTCCATCACAATAGTAATAATAATAATAATAATAACTAGAGGGGCACTCAGTAGAGCACATACCTCCACCACCGTGCAACAGTGATCATATTCTACTCACAAAAAATACAAAAATGTGTCTGCACGTCTGTCTTTATCAACAGATATGGACTATTTTTGGCAGGACAATGGAGAATAATATTCTACACATACCTGCCAAGTTTCATCATTTTCGACTGACTTATGGAGCAAAAATAGTGTGAAAAATCGGTTCTCATGTTAAGAGAGCAAGAGAGAGTTTTTGAATTTTCGTGATCTTGCTGTGACCATGACCCTACAAAAACTAATCACTTCTAAGTTGGGTCATAATCCAAATATATAGCAACTTTCGTACAAATCCATTCAGCCATTCTCAAGAAATCTTGCTGACAAACACATATAGGGGTGTCAACCACCTCTGGTGGCAGAGGTAATAATAATAATAGGGTTTCTTTAAATAATTATTTTACCCTTAAACTTGAAAATATGAAAAAAAACCAGTAAAATGAGTTTTATATAATCTACCAATCTTGTTATTAATATTATTAAAATTCATTCAATCTCTTTAAGAGGAAAAAAAAAACAACAATCCCTTAGATACGTGTCAAAATGATGGTAAATTACATGAGGGATAAAAAGTTAGGCTTAAGCCAAAGTTTGACCTTGTATAACTTAACTAATGTAGATGTAACTTGATCTAAAAAAAATTAATATCCATTGCCCAAAAACTTCTCTATGTCAGTGCTCAACTAATTCAACTTATTGACATACATTACTTCACCAAGTAAAACAATTCATTTGGTAGCTATCCAACAGTGCCATAAACGTATGCTTGCACAAATACACTAGTTGCTATATCATCCCTCAGTTTTTCTCAAGTCAGAGTCAGCAAATTTGTTTAAGACTCCTATTAAGTTATTCAACAGCAGGGTGTAGACAAGTCTAGGTGTTATTTGATAATTTTCGCTCTTGACACGCTTTACTTAGTAAAAGGATCCAACTGAAATATTTTTGGTTGTCATGGGAACCAAGTTCTAAAGCACCATCTTTTTCTTGCTCAATCAAGTTAATGCCATAATGGTGAAAATGGTAGGACTAGAGGACATACATATATTCAGCTGAGATAGTTATATTTTTCTAACAAAGATTGGCCTTTAACATAAGGCTTTAGAATGAACTGCCTTCAGTTGTGGTAATTAATATTAATTTAAGGGAGTTTAACTGAAGGGAAATTTGTTGATCCATTTGACTTAGTCTTAGACTAAGTTTAACACTTTAAAGTTCAACTTAAGTTTAATTTAAATTTTACATTGTATCAAAACAAAAATTAAACTTAGAGCATATTAGAACTTCAAGCTGCTATCCTTCCAGTATACGTCACTTTCAATCTTAATGTTAATTACTATAAATTTGCAAAACAAAAATTTTACTATTTTACATACAAAAATTACAAAGTTGAGGCCTGCAATGTTCTTTACAGTACGTACGTATCTAACACTAACACAGCTTATTAAGTGACATCTATATCATTTTTCTTTCTACGTAAACATGAAATTTATCTAAAATAATATGTTTAAAAAATATAACATTACATACATTCAATATTGTAGGTAAATTTTTTTCACACATTTGGAACGTGTATTGTATTATAAGTAAGCCTAATATAACAATAATAAACTTAAGTTTGATAATAAGTTAATTTACTAAGTTAAGTAATTTGATAATACAAAAGATTACAATATTTCAATAACACAAACTAATTTTGTGAGCTATTTTGCAAGGAGTACATTACTTTATCTTCATCGCAAAAATTAAGAAACTGTACATAACGAAAAAGAGTTGTCTGTTTATTTGATACTAAGCGAAAAGATACACAACGGAATATTTATACAATGCCCATCGCGAGTATTGAAACCCGATTTTTAGCTTTATAAGCTCTCAGACTTATCACTGAGCCAACGAGAGGCCAGTGGGCGATTTGTACTTTGTCCACCACGAGGAAGCGAGCCCCGGACAACAAGAAATGAGAAGTGGCATATGATAAAAAAAAGTAAATGTTGTGTCATTTAAGAATGAAAAAATAAAAAAATATTTTGTCTTTACGGTTGTTGGACACTAGTTCATAGCGAGATTTATATTACATACTATATATTCAGAATCTAAATAGTTTTCAACATCAAAATGTAGCGCACATATATTATTTTGTTATTGTTTAATAATATTGCAATGAAAATACTTATCATAGGATTTGAAATATAAACTGAAAAAGAACCATAACATTAGATGAAATAGCATGCCCCCAGGGGCATAGTGGTATGTCTGCGGACTTATACCGCTAGAAACCAGGTTTTAATACCCGTGGTAGGCAGAGCACCTATAGCCCACTGTGTAGCTTTATGCTTAACTACAAATGAAGTAGCTCCCTTTAACGGCACGGGCAAAAGACTGAGATATGGGATATGTTTTGAAATTATCTTATGTTCCTTGTAGTTTTAAGCGGTTTTCTTTTTTCTTGGGGGAGTATAATGTTCATTACACAGATAAGCGTTATGTGCTGGGGAACAGGGATCGTTGAACAAGTTCTAATTATCTCAGTTGGATGGCGCTCATGACTTCAATATAAATCTAATAATTTTTCCTGTAGCTTTCCCAGGTGGTTAGGGCGCTCGACTCGCAATCTGCGGGTTCGAATCCCCGTTACACCAAACATGCTCGCCCTTTCAGCGGTGGGGGCGTTACAACGTAACGGTCAATCCTACTATTCGTTGTTAAAAGAGTAGTCCAAGCATTGGGTGGTGATGACTAACTGCCTTCCTTCCTAAATTAAGGACGGCTAGCGCAGATAGCCTTTGTGTAGCTTTGCGCGAAAAACAAAAACAAACCTCTAGCTATAGAATGTTTGAACCATAAAATTTACTAAAGAGTAAACAAAAAATTAATTCAAACAGGAATACGATTTTTTTTTTGTTTTAGAGCAAAGCCACATTGGGTTATCTGCTGTGTTCACCATGGAGAATCGAACCCAAATTTTAGCGTTGCAAGTCTGTAAACTTACCGTTTTCTCACCTGGAATAAACCAGAATAAGTGAAGCTGGTGGTTAACCATTTGACGCGTTCTGATCACTTTAAAGAAATTACAATGTTTTAATACTTTTGCTTGTGTTGGAATAATTCCGTTAGTCCTTTAGAACCCTTAAAATACTTCACATTTTTTAGAACCCTTAAAATTCTTCACATTTTTTAGAACCCTTAAAATTCTTCACATTTTTTTTCTCAAATTGTGGTATGAAGTAATTTTAGCAGAAGAAAAAAAATGCACAATTGATTTAAAAATGTTTTATGCAAAATAAATGTTTTCTTAATGGGAAATATACATATTAGTAATCATGTAATGCAGTGTTTCATCAGATCTTAACTGACCGTCAATTGGTAACACTTTTTTTTTGTAACTTGAAATAATGAAAAATTTAAAAAACTTATGTAAAATTTGTTTCGGTAATTTTTGTTTGTTTTTGAATATCGCGCAAAGCTACACGAGGGCTATCTGCGCTAGCCGTCCCTAATTTAGCAGTGTAAGACTAGAGGGAAGGCAGCTAGTCATCACCACCCACCGCCAACTCTTGGACTACTCTTTTACCAACGAATAGTGGGATTGACAGTCACATTATAACGCCCCCACGGCTGAAAGGGCGAGCATATTTGATGGAAGGGGATTCGAACGCGCGACCCTGTGATTTCTGTTAAAGTTTTAATCATAAAGAATGGTAAACTTATTCCACAACGAACAACAAGATTAGCAAAAACAAAAACACTTGACCACTCAGTAACTTGTCCCAGATATATACCACCGATTGTTTGGCCCAGCATGGCCAGGGCGCTTGACTCTCAATCTGAGGGTTGCGGGTTCGAATCTCCATCCCACCAAACATATTCGCCCTTTCGGCCGTTATAATGTGACAGTCAATCTCACTATTCGTTGGTAAAAAGAGTACCCCAAGAGTTGGTGGTGATGACTAACTGCCTTCCCTTTACTCTTTCACTGCTAAATTAGGGACGGCTAGTCCTAGTGTAGCTTTGCACGAAATACAAAACAACCCAAATAAAACCGATTGTTCTAGGATGTAAAGTTTATGGTGTTTCTAAGTCCTCACCATAAGTTTAGTGGTGTAAATAATATGGCATTGTGCCTAACTTATTATTCGATGTTATACAGTGGACCAGCTATTTAATTGTCATATTAGAGAATTATTTTATTTTCACCAAAGATAAAATCAAAAATATTATCTGTGACATAGGGGTCTAATACACTTTTTAATTAGCCGTACCCTCTACTGTTGATTGCAGTTATGCCTATTTAAGGCTTACCTGCATAGCTTGGGTAAGCAAGCCAAGTAAATAAAATTAGGCCTCTTATAATGGTGGTGTGTAAATAACACTCGTCTACGAGGTCTGTAAATAACACTCATTGTCTACAGTACGATATCACTTACTATTTAAACACAGTTCATCACCGAGTCAGCAATGAAAGGTTACTTGTTAAGTATGGGTCAGTGATGTGATGTAAGTCATGCTTAATGAAGTAAACAATAATTAACAAACATTAACTAATTAAAGGTTTTATTCTTCAGTACGAACTGATGAAGCAAATAATAATAAAAACCTTTCTTACAACCAAACACAAGCAACAACAATAATCAGCCAGATATATCACTGTCAACTTCCTCATAATATTTTAATCTATTTTGACTTTGCATCACAAATAAAGCTAACTTTGACAATTTATTCATACAAATGAATACAAGCTTTTTCTTCAGGTTTAAAATCAACACACATATATGTATGGCAAACAATTTCAAACCTCTGCTTATTTTCCGTATATATACGAGTTCCAACAAAACAACAGAAATATTGGTCCCATATATTTTTGTTCTCAAAGAAAGGATGAGTGTGACAGATACGCCCAAAACAAAATTTCCAAATATATATATATATATATATATATATAAATACAGTAAAGACTGGAGTAACATTTTTTTTAACAATATTCAACCAAATAGCAAAACTATACTACACAGTGTGTGTGTTAAATTACAAAATAGTTTGGTCCTAAAAAACCTGAGTAGCTGTTACCCTTGGAAACATATAAAGCATTATAAACTTCCTGAAAGTGCCATAACAATTGACAACTACAAAACATACCAATTAGAGCAGAAAAACAAGAATAAACTCAGTACAAAATAACAACAATGTCACTTACAGTTTGCTTTCAATGGGAAATTCAAAATCTCTCTAATAAAAAAAAAATATGCTGTACACTGGAAATTACAATTCACTTGCGGATGTACACATTTATACCTGGGTTGTGTGTTTGTACCTGAATGTTACTTCTCACTATTATTATTCAGTTATATACACACAATGCACTAGACATAGAAATTGAGTTAACTATCAGATAAACGTGGTATTATGTGAGTGAAGATTTCTACAGTTTCTACAAGGGAAAATGTATGTTAAATTTGATGACTCCTTGATTTCATATTTTCACAAAATATTAATGTTCAATCTTTAAAACCATATACTACATGCATTTCCATTAGGGGCAAGGAGTAGGTGAACGTATCAATTGATAAAGAACAAGAAAACTACACGAAATATGTACAAACAATAAAAGAACATCTCATCACTGGGTTGTTTTTTTTATTTTTTTAGCTTTCATTCTGTCAATTGAATGCCTGGAAAAACAGTTTATCAACATTTTAAAACCTCTCTTTAACACTTTACATACCAAGAAACCTGTGTACCAACAACCAGGTGTGGAAAACCACATCTTTTATATACCTGTTCAGTTTAACTACCTTTCTTAGTAAAATAACACAAAGAGCTACTTTTATATCAGTCTCTCACCAGTTGTGTGTGTCCAACTACTCAAGTTATTTTCTAATACACATATCTCACTAATTAGCATTAATAATTTTCTTCAAAAGAAAACAATAATAATGTTACTCGCAAATTCAAGAACAGTAATATTTTGTCAGGTAAGAAAACCTGCAAGTTGACGACAACTAATGATGTAGATATCATTCAACTGAGTGATACCTATAGGTTAGAAAACTTAAATTCTATGGAAAACTACTGACCAATAAGGGTCTAGATAAAAAAATGTTGCAAAGGAGCAAAAGTTGTTGCCTCCTATTATCTGTTACCCTTTGAGTCTCTTCACCATCATATAGATTCATTAACACTCAATCTTGTAACAGCATCTCAAACTGGTTCCATAATACTGTATGGCACTTACCAACTTAATTGGATTATGATTAGACTTACTGGTTCAGAAAACCTATTTATTTAGCATTAAGAGAGAGAGAGGACTTAATGAAACAAAATTAGATTAATTTATTAAAAGATTATCTCATTTTACTAAGTTCTTTATTTTCTATTTGAAAACTAGTATTTTAATAGCTTTATGTTATAATAATTATACTGTTAGTAGTGAAATTAGTAACTAAGATACTAGCTGTCACATCTAAAACTTAAAAACGTTTTCAAGCTTCAATCATCAATTCATTAAATACCCTTATGTATTAATTAATTAAATATCTTCATTACTTTTTTTAACAACTACACAAGTTAAAAAATATAGAAAATGTAGAAGATAAAATTAATTATTAAGTAATAGCAAGAAATGTTTTGGGAGGAAATCAGATATTGAAACAAAGGTCAAAATTGAAACGAAATTAAATTTAAACAAATGTAGTATCTTTTACAAATACATAGTACAGAAACAACAGGTAGTTTGATTTATATAATTAATGAAAATATATTGCAATATTTTAAAAATTAATGCAGAAACTTATTTGAGAGGAATCAAATAATTGTAAATGGAGTCCGTGATTCACAGAAGTATACATAAAGATAATTGATCCAATTTAGCGATAACAGTCAAAAATCAGCGTGAAAAAAAAAGACATTTAAAAAATAAATTGTCATTAAAAATACACTGAAATAATACTACCTTCTACTGAAAACAAACTGTATAAAATACAACAATGCTTATTTGTTTTAAGGATTTTTTTTTTTTCATATATATACAGAGATGTAGTACAACCACACGCTGAAACAAATATCATCGTCTTAAGTTATCATTCACCTAAACTATACATCTGCATTCTGTTACAAGCTATCACAGGTGATAAGAGACTTCCATACCATATTCAATCACATATTATCATAAACATACAAGTCATCCCCCCTCACACACAAAATCTCTACCCGTTTTACGTTTATCGTCTTCCAATATCAAAACTCGCATTTCATGTTTAAGTTACCATAACAATATTAGAAACAACCTTTCCAAATAAAAAGTACAATACGAATACAAAACAATGCTACACTTAAAATTTCTTGTAAAGAAATGGATTTTGTAATGAGTATCACAAAATGTACGTATAAACTGGAGAAGTGCACAGAAAGTGGACAAAATAAAAGTTTACTAAAAACAGACAAACATAGCTATTTTGTTCTTCTGTGAATGACTATCAAGAACACTTTCAAATGTTTTTTACAACTTGCTTCAGGTATGTTCAAGAGATGATAGTTTTTTTAAAATATGTACAATAACCTGATCCGTTTCAATAAAGGTCCACAGCAGTGTCTTTGCTTATATTTTGTCTAGTTTAAAAATTAAAGCTCAGTTTGCCTCAAAATGTGCCTGCATATTTTACTGGTAAGTATGCATACAACTCAGTGCACAAAACTATTTTTTTGCTCTCTACTAAATTTAAACTGTTAACCTGTATCCAACAAAAATCCTTCCAAGTACAGTCTAGTAAAATATACAGTTCTTAAAAGATTAATATGCAAAAAAAAAAAAGACTAATTAATTCAAAAATACAATAACAGCAACTTTTACCATAGGCAAGGTTTGATTTTTAATAAGTACAATGTTTCGACACATAGTATCGACACGCTGTTATGTAAGAGTTCATTCAAAAGGAAAATTGAATTCCACCTGTCTTTTTATTAATGCAACTCTTACTTAAAGATGACCCGATACTATGGTTCAAAATGTTGTAATTAATAAGATCAAAACCTGCCTAGTCCGTATGTTGCTGTATCTTTGAATTAATTTTTCAGATCAGTAGGATCCTCACTAAACACTATAAACAGAGAATGACTGGGCATAATGTTGGGAACAAAACATATTTTGGGATTTGAAGGAACAGCCATGTGCAATATCCTTACACAATTATTAAAGTTTACTTTTTTGTTTTGCCACCAGGTGAAAAGGGATGTTTAGGTTTACGTTACCAGTAAATTGTAATGATTAAATCCCAAAATAAAATAAATTTAACCAAATTCAAAATAACATTTTTACACAAAAGGCGAATCTTTATAGGACTGCTTTTCAAATTAAAATAGTAAATTAAAAAAAAAGTTTCTTTACTATAAGCTTTGTTTATTTAATTGAAAGCCCTATTAGAGAGAGAGAGAGAAGCATAATTTATCAATTTATTATAACTAAAAAATCATAAAAATATTCTATATTCCTTTTCACTTTTAATGTGTGTATAAATATTGAGTCCTGATTTTATTATCAAACTAATCGTTATACTGATTTAAGTGGTCTTTTAAAAGCTATGCTCAGATTAAGTTTTAGGTAACTTACAAATTATAAACCTTCTTCAGATTATTTCATTTTCATTACTAAACTCTAACCCTTGCTTAAAGCAGTTATAAATCATTCAGTAACTATGTTTTTTTTAGTAAAATAAACTACATGCAAAAAAGGCTTTTCTGGTGATAACTTTCAGTTTCTTTAGTCTCGTAAAACCTTCCACAAACTACTCAACTAAGTTTTGCTCATGTTATTTTATGATGGCTTCTAACTGATTGTGATTACTACTTACTAGCAAAAGCCGAGTTCTCATAAATTGTTTTATTAAAAGGCATTAAATAAAATATATATATATAGAGAGAGACCGACATGTTAGGGTTACTCGTTCTTACATAAACACTCCTGCTAATATGAAAAGGTGCATATTTTATCATTTAATATGCCATTAGGAACAGTATACAAACTATTTGTACTCTATATGAACGTATTAGAATTCTAGTAAACACTAATAAAAATTAAAGTCTTATAAAAATTCTAGCCGGTTTAATTATTTGATTTTATACACGTTGCTTCATTAAGGTTTAGGGGGGGGGACAAAACACCAAAGACACAACACAGTATACCTTGTTTTCAAATAAACTTATAAGTAGAATGTTACTTAAGGTAACTTTTTTAAAGATTTTTCATATTGGAGTATAAAACCCTTAACTTGCTTTGCTGCACAGTTTTCAGTTTATTACTCGTAGCACTTAATATAACAAGTAAATATAAACAGGCTTAATCAATAAACTTTGTGAAATAAGTAAAAACTAGATATAATACAGTTCTTTAATTATAAAGCCAATGACCAGTTCAAAACGTCCACTTTTAATACTTAACTTAAAACCAAAAAAAAAAAAACAGTAGGAAGATATTACTTACAACATAAAAAAAAATATATTAATAATGACATAGAAATTTTGATTTCTTAAATTACAATAATCTATACAACATCTTACGTTTCAATAGCGAGCCAATGTTTCACAAGTTCAGTTGAAGTGCAATAAAAACTGATTATCGGCACTAAGTTTACTCGAAGCGAGAAGAACGAAAAGATTTGCACACAACATTAACTAAATAAAATTTGTTAAAGTTTTGGTACTACACGTATGTTCAACAAGATATTTTTTTGACTAAAAGGTTTTCAGAGAATATTCTACTCCAAACGTTTCTTCTTCTTCTTCTCACCTTGAGCCCAAGATGCAAAATTACAGCTTTCCCAAACTTACATATATTTCTATTTATATATATGTACACGTATTTGGTTTACGTTCAGGTACAGAACCTCTACCAATTACATTTTAAACACTGCTATCTTTGAACACAAACATTAAAGTTTCACCTCCGTAGATATGTATATCTATAAATCTATAATTGATCACACAGAACTAACAACTATTAGTGTTTATAAACCAACAATAAAACCACAGCATTTCATTTACATAAAATTAAACAAGTGCTCAACATTTGCACACGACTAATAGTGAACTAAAATTACAATCCGTTACCTATATCAGTGTTTCTTTTCAAAGGATTAGACTAGAGAAAGAATATATATATATTACGACAGGCAAAATTTTACCCTGATTATATAAATGATCTACATACACTGTTCAAGCTTTCTGTCTGTATCCATGATTCATTAATTATTCTTATATTTTACGTCAACAACATAAAAACTGCGAAGAATCAACAATCACCAAACTGCAGGTTTATAAAGAATGCATTTCTTACTTCATAGCAAATTCAAATATATATAGACTATCCAGTATAAATAACAAGGCATATATCACTGTCATTAAAAACTCATCTTGGACAAGTCCAACTGTTTATTACTTCACTCACCACTTCCTGTCATTGTAAACTGCATTCAGTTGTAATGTCATTGGTGTGTAGACAGTTCATTTAAATAGTACATTTACAGAATTATAACAAACCTGCCTGTGTAAAGCAAATTACTGGATTTTGTACATCAGTTCAAAACAAAATGGCAAAAGACAACCACATGAAACTACCACAAAATTAATTGAGTTTACTGAAAAATTCAGTTATTTCTATATCAGCTTTTTTAATTGCTTGGCAACATCCTGACAGAAATACACAAGTATTTTCAGAGAGAAAATTTCTTGTTGACACGTTTGTGACAGGTTCATGTGGTGTCTAGCCTTACAAGGGTCTAAGTGTTAAGTGCACTTTAGGGCTATCTTTATATCTATATCACCACTCTTGGTCTCATGTCACTAGAGATTTGTATTTGTGCATTAAAATAGGATTTTATAAAATAACAAAAACAGCAAACTTCATTTTTTTTTTCATGTCACAAGTTTAGTAACTACAGTATATTTTCTTTTTATAAATGTTTCTTTAAGATAACTCATCACAGTTTGTTCACTCCTTTTCTCACAAGTAGTAAGGATAAGAGTAATCTACGGATAAGGCATGTCTCTACAGGCCTCTGGGGACAGACTTGCTGTATCACAGCTCCAAGCCCGATATTGTCATTTAATTACACGTAAAGCTGTCTTGAAGAATATACAATTCTATAACGCTCGTTTAACCCGAATGGTTTTACTGCAACGTTTATGTGCTGCTGTGGGTTTTGCTGTGGGCATTTAAGTTGCCTTTATTAGCAAAGCCTTTTCCACAAGACTGGCATACAAATGGCTTCTCACCGGTGTGGACACTCATGTGTCTCTTCACGGTTGACTTCTGAGAGAAACACTTGCCACACACAGTACATGAAAATGGTTTCTCCCCAGTGTGAGTGCGCATGTGGATCTTGATACGCTCTTTGTCAGCAAAACACTTGCCACAAATATCACAAGGAAATGGGCGTTCACCAGTATGAGATCTCATGTGTCTGGTGAGGGATGTCTTCTGTGAGAAACAGTGGCCGCACAGCTCGCACGTGAACGGCTTCTCGCCGGAGTGAGACCGCATGTGGCTCTGGTATACATTCTTTGTGGCAAGATGTTTACCACAAAGGTTACAACGAAAGGGTTTTGAAGAGCTTGCTGGAATAACGGATGGTTCCGAGAGAGAAGTGCTAGTAACCAAAGACTGACGGATATGTAGCTCACAAGACTTACCAGACTGGCACAAAGAACAGTACTTTTCACTAAGACTACTATCATTTTGAGAGGAATTCTCAACAACACCTGGTGAAACTGACAGTCTTACTTTATCCGTTGAGACAGCTGTTGGCTTGGAAACAGGCAAAGTTGTTGACACTGTCTGAGAAGTGCTGACATCAACTTCACACTTAACCGAGTTTAGTGGCACAGAAGATGTATCTATGTTTGTAGATGCTCCAGACAAACCAGGACTAATTGTAGACACAGAAGTTGATGAAAATATGTGTGATGAGTTACCTATCTTGTCTAAAGCTTCATTTGTTAGTGATGATCTTCCTATAGTAGGACACGAGTCTGCAAGAGCTTCAGGATGGTCGCGTTTCTTTAAAGAAGTGAAGCCAGAGACGGTGTAAAATGGTGGCAGAAGCTGCGAGTCCGATTCACTTCCAGGTCTAGATGTGAAGAAGGTCATCATGCTCGGCAGCTGAGCTACTGCATGCTGCATGGAATTTTCTGAAGAAACAGCAGAAAATGGTCCACGAGGAGATACTTCCACTTCCATGGGTTCTTCTTTAATAGATGACAACACTGGATTTGTTTTTGTCAAGACAGGAACATTTACAGAGCTTTTCAGATCAATTTCTGGGTTCTCCTTAGGTTCTCTAGCACAAAGCTCAGGAAATGGTGAAGTAATGGCAGCAGATCTGGAATAATGGAGATCAGGCATCTCTAAGGCCCCCACAGAAGACACTGTTTCAGAGGCTGTTATTGACACTGATGCAGGTAATGTGTCACCAACATCATTAGCAGTAGAATGGATAGATCCAACAGACTGTAGTGTGTTTAAGGCATTTTCATTAGAAAGGTTATCACTAGATGAAAGAATACATCTACTTTGGTTATGTGGATCACAGTGGTGAGGTCCAGTACTCTGGAAAGGCTGAGGTGGTGTAGATGACACTACCGAAGTGTATGTTGTTGTCCCAAAGTCCAGAGGAGTTAGCAAAGGGTTTGTGGATGGTAAAACCAAGATATTTTCATTATTTTCTGCAGTACTAGTCATTACAGTACTCACTCCATGATGGGCAATATGAATTGTCTCAAGCTTATCTACATCACAATCTGAGGTAGGAATTGGTGGTAAACCCAAAAAATTATTTCCTACTGGACTGGACTTCATTACTGCTTTGTGTGGCTCTCGTAAGTTATGTGATGGGAACGATAATGTCTCTTGAAGATTAGAGTATAAAAAAGGGGATTCACAACCCAAGGGAACATTTATGGTTTCGTGGATGGGTGCTTCATGTTCTGGATCAATGTAAAATGGTTTGTAGTTTACTCTAGAGAGATAAGCCATATGGGGCTGCATTATAGTTGAAACAGGGGGCAATTTTTGCACTTGTCTATCTTCTGAAGGTCCCGAAAGAGAATCAACTAAATTCTGGTAGATGGGTGTGGACTCAAGAACATAGTGAGAAGGATTTTCTGAGACTACATAAGCTTTTTCAGCTTTCAGATACTTTTCATCATCTGAAAAATCTCTTTGGTACTTATAGGATAATTGGATATTTTCCTTTCTTTCCTCTTCCCTTTTGTTGTCAATGCCAGCATGCTTATATGACATGCTTTCCAAAATGGGTGGTTTGATAACACTGGAAAGATTCCTAGCTTCATCACCCATTGAGGTAAAAGAGAAACCTTCAACAAAACTCTGAGGTATAAGAACTGATGAGCTTGAGCAATGTGATATAGGTATTTTTTTCTCTTCCCTCATTCCCTCTTCCCTCACTCCATTGACTAAAGGACACGTGTCATTTAGAGGATGAGACAAATCAGACCCTGATTCTAGACTTGTTATTTTTGCATTAAGTTGAAAAACAAAATTGTTATAATCAGATATTTTGGACAAACTAAATTTATCCCTTTCAGACTGTGGTAACAAATCATTATGAGCACTAGAAGTTGTAGTGATATTTGAAGGCTTATTTGATGTGCTGCTCTGCATGTGACGAGCAGCTCCCACTGGGCCTGGTAAGCAAACAGAGAGTAGACTAGATGTCACCGGAAGTTTAGTTGGTTGTCCATTGCTACCACCATAACATAGAGAATCTACTGTAGTCTGTTGGATGTTGTCTGTCATAATTTAAATCCCATTATCTTCAGCGTTTCTCATTAAATGTTCCACATGTTACTGATGAAGCTGTTAGTTCTGACCTAAAAATATAAGAACACTGTTGTTCTATCAAAATTTTCTCTCTGAAACAATCTTCAACCAAAATTTAGTAATTAATTATGCTGGTGTAAATATTATTAAAACATGATGAACAACCTTCATGTACATCTTTTACAAGATTAGTAACCACGGTAATAATAATAACAAAATGTACCTATTTACACTTTAAACAAAATACTATCAAAAGTATATTTCAGGATCATCAACTACAAATTACATTGGTGTAACATCGGGTTAAACTAAACTTGGACACTATTACTGAGAATAATATTTAATACAACTGACGTTCCTCTGACAGTCTACTAGTCTTGATAGCTGTAAATCCTCTGAAAATGTTACAAGAGCTACAATTTTATATAAACATTTAAGTGTTTTCTAATTATGAAAACAATAACTCAGTATCTATACATTACACTTTTATAGATAAAATAAAAATCTAAACCAACAAAATTAAAAAAAAAAATTCTAAGGTTTTAACTCCACAGAAAAGCATCACCTGTAAGTTTTTGCAGGAAAACGAATTGTATTAAAAAGCAGTTAACTGATTTTCCTTTCCCATAGAGGCAAACCAAGCCTCTTATCCTAGAGTATCTAAATGAAATACAAGAGTTTGGTGCAAGCTTTTAAAAAGCCCATTGATTTACACTCGTATCTCAATCTCCAATTGTTTCTGTCAAGACAAAACTTGCTGGGGCTAATATTTTGTTGTTTACTCCCTGTGTGCACATATACATATATTGTAACTAGCTCTAGTGAGTAATTGAAAAACTTACTTACCATAACAAGTCAGTAATAATAATATAGGTATTCTAACTCACATAAGAAAAAAATATTAAAAACATCCTGGTTATTGTCAGGATGTGCAAAAATAAGATGTAAACAGAATTTAGCATACATCATCTAGTAAATTCCCTCATATTATTAGTTTGCAAGTTACAAGTCAAACCAGCTTAACTAAACAAAAAAATTAGGAGCTGAACTAGAGTGTCTTTAGACTGACAAGTCTTAGCGGTCACTCATTGATCATGGCCAATAATTAATACAAAAAGTCCTCCCAACACCAATAAATAAATGCATGAAAGTAATGACATGTATATTTAAGCTAATATATTCTTCAATTTCATAAATCTTATAATAACATAACAAAGTTTTGAGACAAGATGGGACCTATTGGTCCATCTCGGCTATTCCATCCTCTAAACTATATTAAAATAATTTTAAAAAATCTTTAAGCCAGTCCTTTTCATTCATATACTTGTCAAGCTTTCTCCAAAACTCACTTACATTTACTGCCTC